GCTCAAACCAGGCGGTGATAGACCGGTGTTTCCTACTGGAACATGTCAATCGCTGCTAATGGGCAATGAGACAGACGACTACAATTGGACGGAGGGAGACCTGCAGTCCACACACACATTGCGAGTTTTTATTGTTAAACAAGGCACAGGAGAAGTGTCACACCAGCACTACCTTGGAGGTCAAGATCTAGTGCCTATATATGCGGGGTGGCTAGTGAACGATTGGGGAATGCGAGCAGTTTTTTTTTTTTTTTTTTTCATTGCGCTGCTTGCATTGGAGCAATATTTCTTTGCAGACTAGTTGGTTCATACTTGAAAAGTTTACTTGCTGCGCAAACTGAAAGAAAAGGGGAAGGGAATTGTGCTCTTTCCTGTCTCCCTTCTTGTTGTTCTTCAGCTTGTGCTGCAAGTAGTTTTCAAGCCTGTATTGGCATTGCGAGGCAAAAGAGAGGGGAGCACAACAGAGGAGTGAGGGGAGGGGACGTGAATTCACAGTGGAGTGCGGATGCCACCAGATCAAGCTTGCTCGTGAGATGCTTCGCATCTGAAACATCAAGGCAGATTTGCATTAGTGGTGCCAAGCCTGAAAAAAGTGTGAACCTTGACTGCCTTCTTTGATTGATTGATTGATTGGCCCTTTTAACCTGGCGTAAGCCATCATGGTGGATCGGCCATGAAATGAGCAGTGCCTTGTATATAAAATACTTTGTTTATATTGTCATAAGTCTTAGCAATAGATAGTTTGGAAATACTAACTTATTAGTTTAATTCATGATAACAAAAAGTAACAAAAACAAGGACTAGCTTTTCTGAAAACTATGCTTGAATTTGATCTTGGCATTCATATCATCTTGTCTCGTGTAGGAAATGCATATTGCCTCGCAAATGCTCCTGTGGCTAAAACCCAGTACGTTAACCCCAAAGAAAAGAACTACCGAAAATTATAAATTTAATCCCATCCTTCGGAGTGGTTCATTCCTTTAGGTATTTCTTTAGGTTTCTCTTTTTGCTTCCTTTCTTCTCTCTTCTCAGTCTTGTCTATCATTTTTTTTCTGTTTATTTCTATTTATTTCTGTCTGTGTCCTTCTCAGTCTCATTCTTTCTCGCTCCCTTTCTGCCTTTATCTTCATTTTACTCTTACTCATCCTTTCACTCATGCTTTCTCGGCCATGTGTTCCTCTCCTTTCTTCCTTTCCCTCCTGCTTACCCTCGCATCTTTTCCCAACTTCTTGCTGTACATACCATACAAGGATATGCTATGCTCGGGTAGTGTGCCTAAATGGCAGAATGGTTACGCTGCTCGCTTTCATACACAGAGACTTGTGTTCTAATCCTGCCTTGCCAAGAAATTTTTTTTCCCTCACTGTGGTTGTTTAGTGGGTTGTTTAGTGGTTACGACACTTAAAAGCTGACTCGCAGGTTATGGGATTGAATCCTGGCTGCAGCAGCCGCATTTTCGGTGGAGGAGAAAATGCTTGAGGCCCATGCTGGGAGTGAAGCAGAGAAGAGTGCACAAGGGTTCATGATCATTTCTATTTATCGGTTATGGACCAATGCTGGGCTTGAACAGCTCCACTGTTGAAAGCATTCAGTATGGTTACAACAGTTCTATGCTTTCTGTACCACGTGTGTTTAGTGGGATAGCGTCAATGCAGTGAGGTTTCTCGGCGCTCATATCGCGCGCAAGCGAGCTGCTTTTGTTTCCTTAAAGCAGTGCGTGCTTGTATCCAGCCTTGCACAATGTGTCAGTGATAGGGGGCCCAACATTTTCAGGTAGTCTCCTATTAAAAGCAGACAGTAGGCTTAAAGTAGCCCTACGCCACATGATTGGCTGGGCAGATAGCTGAAGGTACTACTTATGGTGACTAGGTTGTTGGCAATAAGTCATACCAACTCCTTAGTGTCTGCCACGCCGGCGTTTTCCTGATGCTTACTGCAAAGGCATAATCGCAAACACGTGGCTGTCGGAACCATTGATTGGCGGCTCTTCACACTTCTCGAAAAGATGCAAAACCTTTTGCAGTACATTGTGATGTATTTCTTGAGATTAGTCGCGATGGGATTTGGTCAAGGATTCGCTGCAACTGTTTCTGTTAGTACGTTTCATGTGGGTGCATATTAATAAGGTTTCAATGTATGTACTATTCGTGCGACCAATTCGAAACAGATCTAATGAGTTCCCTTTAACTGAATGCAGGAACAGCGCAACCTAGAAGTAGTTACTTCGTAACTACGCAAGCGAAAAAACAAGGACAGAAAAGAGCGCTGTAGCGCTCTTTTCTGTCCTCGTTTTTTCGCTTCCGTAGTTACGAAGTAACTACTTCTAGGTTGCGCTGTTCCTGCATTCAGTTATGTCCTACCAACTTGCCCAAGCTTCCACGCTTCATGAGTTCCCTTTAAGTTTTAACAGTGACATTTTGTTTTACTATACTCTGCTATATTTCTTTGATTTCTAAAATGCATTGCAGTAGTTTTGTCATACTTATGCTTACACTATCAGTGTTTTAAACAAACCAGCAGCTTGCTTATGGTCTGTAGAATCGTGAGACCCTTATATTTTTCTGCTTCCCTGAAGATGTCACTGGAGTATATCTGCTGTCTCTGTCTGCTGCATTAGTTTAACAAGAAGTTTCTTGTGACAGGCATAATATAAAAACTTGTTTGTTTTGTTGAATGGCTCTTAACTGCAATAGCAATGCAAAGTTGCTTCTATAAATCAGGGGCAGTATTCTGCAAGTTATGGGAACGCTGACAGTGGCGGAGCCAGTGTATAGAAGGTAACGAGGATTAGCTGGCATTTTTTGCGGCTTGCATTTAGCTTCCGCTGTTTATCAGTTGCAGCCAAGCCTTTCATCAGCCAAGATATGTTGCTCGGTGTCTCCATGTCGTTCCTTAGAGGTTCGGTGTAGCGACTGGCCCTGACCCCCTACAAAGTTCATCAGTTGGACGTTGAATGTGCAATAAATGAATATACTCAAGATTTGCTGTATACTGTTTGCTTCAGTTCACTAGCTCTTGAGCGCTGAAATGAAGAGCCCATCTAGTGGCCTCTTGCAGAATACATACAGCCCAGATACCATAAATGATTGAGGAGAAAGTACAACTCCTGAAAGCATAGCGATCTCATGAAAGTGTTGATTGACACGAGCCAGTGTTATGCTATTAGAGCCTAGCATAGCAATGCTAAGTTCATGCTTAGAGGGCATACCCTTGTTCAAGCGTTGCGTGCTAAGCTATTCTGTTAAGCTCTGGATAGCTCTTGCAGCTTATCCACTTGTGTGCTAGGAGAAATGCCCGCAAGACATGCTCCTGCCACACATTTGTTACATGGGACGCAGAAGTGAAACGCATGGAATAATTTTTTTAGAACTCTATCATTGTCATGGATTATGAGAACTCTATCAAGTGATGGATCATGAGAACTCTATCATTAAGTCATGGATCATTGGTTTTGCAGTAGAAGAGGAAATGAATCGCCCAGATCCAAGTGTTGGAGGTCTTGCTAAAACCCTAATGCCTTTAAAGCCCTGTGATGTGGATTTCAATGTATTTTTTTTATTTTCACTATGCTCGCTCAGTAAATGTTCTCAAAGCTTGTCACGTTTCTGCCTGCTTTGGAACACAGTGTGATCAATTTTTGCTCTGTGAAGAATTGCATAGGCCCTAGATGGTTTCATCGAAATCTTTCCCGGTGTGCTGGTGTGTGAACTTGTTGCAGCAAAAGTGATACATTGAGGGATAATTCAGTGAGGCAGATGACACTTTTCTTCTTAGTGTCCCTGTGGGTGCAAACGATAAAGCTGACAAGCAGCAAGATGTGCACATTGTTCAAAGAACTAATCTACAAGATGACGCTCGGACACTAAGGCTGTATGGGCATGCTAGCTTGACTACTTTTGCAGATACACTCCATGAAATGGCACTGAATAAATGTGTCGAGAAACACTGACAGCAGAGTAATATGCAGAATAAGCACCTGTGTTCATGAGCAGTAGTGGTGTGCACTTTTTCTTTTGGGTAGCATGCTTTATCTACCAATGTTGCAGCAACTACAGTGACTGCTGCAGCTTGAAAACTTTTTTTTCCTGATAGCACAAATTCTGAACAAGCATACTGGAAGACTGCCCCGCCACGGTGGTCTAGTGGCTAAGGTGCTCGGCTGCTGACCCGCAGGTCGCGGGTTCGAATCCCGGCTGCTGCGGCTGCATTTCCGATGGAGGCGGAAATGTTGTAGGCCCGTGTGCTCAGATTTGGGTGTATGTTAAAGAACCCCAGGTGTTCGAAATTTCCGGAGCCCTCCACTACGGCGTCTCTCATAATCATATGGTGGTTTTGGGACATTAAACCCCACAAATCAATCGATCAATCATACTGGAAGACTCCCCTGGTTCGTGGATTTTTTTTTCTTTATATTGAAGATGGGGGAGTGAGGCAAACTTGCCTGCCTGGGTAGCTTAGCATGCAAAGTTTAGCACTGCTAAGCTCAAGAATACATGTTATATTCTTGGCCACGTCTGCATATCAGGGATAAAAATACCCATGTGTTTGTCAGTTTTGGTAAACATTAAATATCATTATGCATTCTCAGGTGGTCAGTATCAATCTATAGTTCCACACTTTTTTGTGGATTTGTGGGGTTTTAACGTCCCAAAACCACTGTATGATTATGAGAGATGCCGTAGTGGAGGGCTCCGGAAATTTCGACCACCTGAGGTTCTTTAACGTGCACCCAAATCTGGGTACACGGGCCTACAACATTTCCGCCTCCATCAGAAATGTAGCCGGCGCAGCCGGGATTCGATCCCGCGACCTGCGGGTCAGCAACCGAGTACCTTAGCCACTAGACCACCGCGGCGGGGCCATAGTTCCACACCACTGCATGCCTCATATTATTATGAGTTCAGCATGTAAAACACCAGACATTGACATAAGTTGGCTCTCAGCAGAAACAACTATTTGGGTGGTAGTAAGAACAATTGTTTCTTGCTTTTGCTGTGCAGGTGGTGAGCTTCAACAGGCATCCCGTGACCATCACACTTGTTGCGAGCAGTTCAGCTAATACTGGTGGGTTGATGCCATTGGTCAATTTTGTTGTAGTCAAGTTCTAACAACATAATCTAGCTTCACTGTGAACATTGCTTGCTCTGGAGTTTTGCAAGTCCTTGTCTGTTTTTCTTTTCACTTTTGAGTTTTACACAGTGGCTATCACATCTATTCATGACTGCTCCAGGAATAAAATATGTACTCTTATCGCACAATCTCTTCCCATTGAGAGCGCACCATGTAGAAAAGTTTACGAGCCATGCTCTGATGCTTGCCTGGTAGCGTGCGCCAGCTATTGCAACTACGCACCTAGAATCAAAGTTCACAGTTGCTGCTCGAGCTACTCCCCCCCCCCCCATCTCCCCCGCATCTTTTCATGATTGTTCAAGATGGGCGGTGTGTTTCATCTCTGCTTGAGCATTCGACGGCAGGTCTAACATGCGGTGGGATACTATCGCGTGCGCCCTCCAAGCGACTGAAATCGGCCACCCACATCTAATCTTTACTTGAGCAGTCCTCATCATCCCAGCTTGTGTATAGATTGTACGATACACAGGGAATGTTACAAACTGGTTGTTTAACGTAAAAGCCTGCATATAGTCTGGGGTGTAATTTGGGGATAGCAAATGATAAAAAAAGTTTCCATTCAAATATAGCCCGAGTAAAACGGAAAAATGCATTTATTCACACACTTTATTCATCGTCGTCGTTGGATGCACTCTCTACCGAAGCCCCCTTCTCGGAAATGTTCTCCCACAACACATCATCCTCAGTGCAACACATCATCCTCAGTGCATTCGAAATGGAGCACTTTTTAAACGTGCGGCAAATGTGCTCCTTGGGAATGCAGGCCCAAGCCTCTACTATCCACGAGCGCAGCATCGCTGGCGAGGCCCGTTCCAGCCGTCCAGTAGAAGTCACTTCTTGTTCTCCGGACCTCATCCACTCCGCAGGCACTTGACATGGTCCTTAAATGGCTTATCAAGGCACACATCAAGTGACTGCAGCTGCGATGACGACGAGCTCGGTGCGGGAGTCGCGCAGCAGTTGCTTTACGGAGTCGGTTAGGTGACACCGAAACCCATCTAGCACAAGCATTGAACGGAGCTCCAGCAGTGCTCCGGGCCGGTAACACCACACAGACTTTATCTGTCAAGCACTAGCGATTTGTCCATCCGCCCCTTAATCTGACAGCGGACGACATTTTTTGGGAATTTCTCCCCTTTCGGCAACGCCTTTCATTTGAATACCACTAGGGTGGTAGCTTGTGACTGTCTGCAGTGAAGGGCAACATTACAGTCTCCTTCGTTTTTTCGTTCTCAGTCGATCACACGATAACTTTTCTGATGCACAGTCAGTGCCGAGAGCATATTCAGGTAGATCGGCATTTGGTCCCCATTGGTGATCTGGCCCAGCTGAAAGGGGACAGCCTTTTGCAACGCAATTATATACTTTTGAAACTTCACAAGGTGCTCTTCGTAGCTCTTTGGTAGCTTCTGGGAGATCGACGTACGCCGACATAGGGAGAAGAACCCAGTGCGACGCATGAATAGAGACGCCCAGTGCTTGCTCGTTCTGAATTGCTACAGCTGAGAGCCTTTCTCTCGAGTGATCTCCCTTGCCTTCACTTGTAGTAGCTTGGTGTTTAGCTCGCTGCTCCCGCACAAAGTCTGCGAGTTCTCGTTTCATGTCAGGAAACTCTATTTTTTGGTTCGCGGGAACTTTTTGCTAGTCGCTGAAAACAGAGTGCATCTATCTGTTTCTACTCCGCTCGTTGACTCCGAACAGCCGCTTTGCGACGCAGTTGCCAGTGGTTTCGGCAGCAGCGATAACTTCCGTTTTAAAAGCAGCCGAGTACTGACTACGCGGTGCTGACGTGACATAAAATTGCAGGAGCAAAATTGTGGCCGTCGTTATGGGCGCGAAGTTGAAGCAGAAGCCACTGACTACTGTTGCACGTGTGTGTCTGCAAGACTAACGCCTGCTACAGTCGAACCCGGGTATATCGAACTCGCCAAAAAACGTTTATTAGTTCGATATATGGCATAATCCGATATAGGCCCGGTATAGGTTTTGGCACAAAGGCACATAACAAACTAGAAGAAAACTACTTTATTAATAAGGTGGCTTACTTGCGTGTCCTACTGTGGAACAAAATACCGTATTTACTCCCATAATCGGCGCACTCGCATAATAGGCGCACCCCTAGTTTGGTCGCGGAAAATTTGATTTTTTTTAATTCCGCGCATAATAGGCGCACCCCGAAGTTGGCCGTGATCAGAAACGATTCTACCCCCCAGCGGTACAGTTGGAACGCGGTCCCCGTACCCTGAAGAAAAAAAGAAGGCAAATCGACGAGCAAATAAAAAAAATTCGAAGTGCAACGACCTAACCAACGTGTTTGTCGAAATAAAACTTGAAAAAAAAAAAAAGCGTCCATGAGGGGAAAAAAAAAAAACGGCTGTTCCATCAATTACTGATACCCCCCAAATCGCCGCGCTTTTTGGAGGTCACGTGTACAACGCCGGGGGCTCGATCGCCATCACCACCATCAGAGAAAAAGAAAAACGGTTTTCGTGGGCACCTAGTAGACCGCGTACGAAATGAGCTAAAGGAGCTGCGCACAGATCTGGCAGTGATTCCAAGCGGCCTCACATCGATACTGCAGCCTTTGGACGTGTCCTTGAATAAACCTTTCAAGGACAATGTTCGAAGGTTGTACACCACCTGGATGGCTGGAGGACAACATCAGCTGACTACAGGTGGTAAGATTAAGAGGCCACCTGTGGAAATGCTGTGCGCTTGGATCGTGGAAGCGTGGCAGGCGATCTCCGACGAAGTCGTCAGGAAAAGCTTCAAGAAGACGGGTATCTCGAACGCACTGGATGCGAGTGAGGATGACATGTTGTGGGGTGCGGATGATTCGGACACCGAAAACGAATCCCCGCTCGGCGAGGATGAATGTGTGATCTCCGACTCGGACTTCGAATAGGGAAAAGGAGGAACAGCTACGACTTTTGTGTAAATTTTACGTGTGTGTGTCCAGTTGACGGCTCTCGCTTGTTCATTAAAAGGTACGTAGGTATGTTTGTTTTATGCTGAATTAATTGGTAAACGATAAAGTCGCCTTTTACTTGACAAGTGTGCAGATTTAAAGAGTGACAACCGAGTTGAAAAAATTTTCGAAAATTTTACCCCGCGTACTTGGCGCACCCCTAACTTCGAGCCGGATTTTCTGAAAAAAAAAAGTGCGCCTATTATGCGAGTAAATAAGGTAGTCTCAGATTTTTTCTGTGTCAAGGACTTCGCTGCCTGTGACAGCACGCACGCCTCCACGTTGTCCAACAAGTCGGAGCAGCTGAGGCTGCAGCCTTCCAGCGCCGGACCAACGCAAGTGCACTAATCACTTCGGAGGATGTAGGCAATGGGTCGTCGTCGATTTCCACATTGCTGTCGCTTTGGTTCGTGGTCGGCACGACGTCTGCTATGTAATCCGCATCCTGTAATTGGCCCATGATGGGGACATCGTCCGCACTGACGAACTCGTCGAATGTCGATCCGTCGATAGCACCCGGGAACTCTGCCAGCTCGTTCCAAACTTCGGCGAAAACACCTGCGGTGTCTTCAGTGCTGTCAGAATTTGGGGTTTCATCACCAGGCACGCGGAAGCCGGCATGCCTAAAGCAGTTCTGGATCGTCTCCTTCTTGACATCTGCCCACAATCTACTCAACATAGAAATAGCTCCGAGCAAGTTGATCTTAAGCTCCCTGCCGACACGAAGGTTCTGCAGCAGCCTCTTCACCAGGCGCTTCAGATAGCCTGCTTTCATTGCGCGTATAACGCCTTGATCCATTGGTTGCAGTACAGACGTAGTGTTCGGGGGCAAAAAACGCAGCTCGATGTTGCTGAAGGTCGTACTGCAGTGGTGCGATGAACAGTTGTCCATGAGCAGGCACACCTTGCGATTTGCGCCTACCAAATCATCATTCCACGACAATAGCCATCTGCTTAAAAGCTCCCCGGTCATCCACGCTTTTGAGTTTGCTCGGTAGGTAACTGGAAGCGACAGCGCATTTCGAAAATGCCGCGGTGCCGTGCTTTTCCTGATAACCAGAGGTCGAAGCTTTTTCGATCCGTCTAAATTAGCGGCCAACAGCACGGACACACGAGCTTTGTTTGCTTTGCCGCCGCTTGTCTTGTCGCCACGACTTGCAAGTGTCTTATTTGGCAACATTTGCCAAAATAGAGCGGTTTCATCCGCATTGAAGATATCTTGGGCTCTATATCTTGCTGCGATATCTCGCCAGTTTTCCTCGAGCCATTTTTCTACGCTGTCCAGGTCCGCCACTCTGCTTTCAGCTGTAACAGCTTTGCCAACGATGTCGTGCCGTTCTTTGAACCGCTGAAGCCAGCCTGAAATGCCTTAGAAATCATTCCTGCCAAGCAGAAAAGCAAGGTCGTTGGCCTTCTCCTCGATCATAGGGCCGAACACCGGGATGTTTCGTGACCGAACGCCCACAAACCACTTGTAAATGACCGCTTCCACATCTTCGTACACAGTAGCGCGCACACGTCGGGTGCCACGGGCACCTGGCCTTTTGTCCGACTTGGCCCTGATGTTTGCCTTGTTCTTCGGGATAGTACTCAAGGTGCTCCTTGGAATTTTGTATGCGACGGCGACGTCGGACTTCTTTTCACCGCGCTCAACCCAATTGACGATTTCGAGTTTCGCGGCGAACAGCAAGTTTTGCCTCTTTGCGCAAGCCATGATGACAGCGGGCCAATACAGTTCACAGAGCACCAACAGGCAACACCACAGACCACGCTGAATCTGCAGCAGCGGGCACACAAGCATAAAGAAAAAATGGCGCTCACTTCTACCGCCTTCGCGCCTCGGAAAAAGCACGACGGCCTCTGATTGGCTGTAAGCACTGTGAGCGGGCCAGGATCATTTCTTGGAGGGGGGTGTTCGCCCACGCACAACCGGGTCTAACCAACTTTTTCTAGGGTGGCGCCGGCA